TCACGCAGGCCGCGCGCTGGGCGGCCTGCCAGGGGGGCCGCTGCGCGCCTCTGTGCAGCAATCGTGGCTTTCATGCTCCAGGGCAGCATGCGTGATCTATCAACACGGCCTACTGAGAGGCCGAGGTTCTGAAATTGTCAGGGGCGCCACCGTCTGCACACGCCCGCCCTTGGGCTGGCGCTGTGCGCCGGGGCCGCACCTCGTAGAGCGTCATGTCCTCGGGCCCAGTGATGTTGTACACGATGCCGGTCGCCTGCTCGATGCCCACCTGCAAGCAGGAGGGAGGCGGCGCGGAGCGACAATTGGTCCCTGCCAGGGCAGCACCAGCAGCATGCACCACCTCCACGGGAACCTCACCATTTGCTCCTCCACTCTGCGCTGCAGACTGCCGGTCAAAGGCTTTGCGCTGCACTCCCAAACGCCAATGGTGCGCTGTAGCCCAGTCTGCCAGGGCCCCCACCCCTACCGCGGTCCCTGCCCCCCCTCACCCACCTCCAGCAGCGGGCTGCTGGTGGCCGCGATCGCGGCCTCGCGCGCGCGGTCCTTGCCGCCGGCACGGCCCTGGCCCATGAGGCTGCTGCCCGCGTTGGACATGATGGCGCGCACCTGGCGCCATGCAGAGGGTGGTGGGGCGCAGCGGTGACCGGCTCACTCTGGCTGTGGGGGCGCCGGGCCATCAGCGACGAGCTGGCCAACCCGGCTGGTGCGCTCAACGTTGATAACAGGCCTCCAGTCAACCCTATCCTGGACAATACCGCTGCGGCACCTGGTGCCAGGCCCAGTCAGCCGCTTTTGGTGCTCTGCTTGTGTCCCCGCGCCTGCCAACTTGCACTCCCTGCCAGGCAAACTCTGGTGCCAGCGACCGTTCCAGCCAGCCGCCACGACCCATCAGCACGCCAGCCCGCCAGCCCGCCGCTCCGCCCCCCCCCCTCACGTCTGCAAAGTCGACGTTGACCAGCCCCGGCACCATGATGATGTCACTAATGCCGCGCACGCCGCTGCGCAGCACATCATCCGCCACCCGGAACGCCTCGCCCAGAGGCAGGTTGGGGTCCACGGCTGGGGGCGATGGCCGGGGTTT